TGGTGATAGATTAAGGAGGAGGGATAAAGCAAAGCAGGGCAAACCCCTGGGATTGGATAAAAAGTAAAATGATGGACACATACTTAGGTGGATGCAGGATCAATTAACATGATAATGAAGGAATTTGTAGTATCTGTCCTGGGGCCCAGCACATTTGGTTGTGCCCCAGGGGCTCCAGAAAAAGGGAAGTTACAAGTTACCCAGACATTTCAAGGGTATGTTATCTTAGAGGCAAAAAGGCAAATGGGCTCAGTAAGGATCAAAGTTGATCTTGTCAGTGAAGATACTGGCCTAGGACATAACTGCCCACCATAACTGCTTTTAGTTAAAGTTTAATTTCAGACCATCCTTTGTGGTTACTTTAGGTCTCTGAGTTTGCAAGACCGCCAGGCGGGCCTCTCCTGAGCTTGTCAGGTCAGCATAAGGCCCCTTTCGTCCACACCACCAATGGGATAATGTTAAAGTCAACCACGATACATCATCTCCATAGCTGATTATGTAGCCATTGGAATGATGTTTTTAAGGATTGGGAGCTATTTATGCTTCAACTTGAAGTACAGAAGTGTATTTGTGCTTCGTTATCATGTACAATGCCTCCCATGAGCCAGCCATCGACCTATTTATTGGAAATACAGAGCTAATATGATGGGAAAAACAGGAAGGAATGACATAGAATGGGACCAGTGGTTTTCTGCCAGTGATGGGATTATAAGGAATCTTTTCCTTATTAAGCTTTGTTAGTGTTTCCCAAATGTTCAGTAAGAAGCTTGTATTACTTTGTAATTATAGAAAAAAGCGCTCTGCAGTAAAAGGAAGAAGCTATTTTGAGAAGCCAGGATGGAGTTCTGTATTTGGGTAGCATGCGTCTGTGTGTCGGAGGAGAGGGGCTTGTTTCATTCAATTATTCATTTGACAAATATTGAGAAGCACTGTCCTAGGCCTGACCTCTCTCGAGAAGGGGGAGGGCGTGTTGAGGAGATTGGGAGGCAGACGCCCCACACCCTGTGACTGATTGAATGTGGGGACAAAAGAGGGAAAGGGCTGTGGCCAACTCCCAGCCGGGGGGAGGAAGTGGTGCCTTCGCTGAGGTGGGGCCTGTGGGCAGAGGCAGCGGCGGGACCCTCGCGGTGGCGTGGTGAGGGTGTGCAGCCTAGAAGCATCAGAGCTGATGTCCGGGAGGCGGCTGGAGATCTGGATCAAACAGTAGGAAGAGGGGGCTGGACTAGAGACAGAGACTTGGCAGTTGTCTGCAGGTAAGTAAGTGTACAGGGGGCAACGCTGGGAAACAGGTGCTGTGTGACGGTGGGGAGAGAGGAAGTGCCAGAGAAGAAGGCCCAGGAGGAAGGTGGCCAGTCCCCCCCCCCTTTGTCCCCAGGCAATGATGCGCATGCTTTGTCTTGGATAAAGAACCCAGAGCTAAGTGGGACAGGGTGGGGCAGGGCCTGAGGGGCTGGGAGAGTCTGCCCACCCCCAGCTCAGGAGGGGGACATTGAATGGAGGGGCAGAAGCAGCCATAGTGACCTCCAAGTGTCTGGCCAGCAGTGATGGGGATGTCTGCTCATGGCTCTTTCTTTTTGTGCAGGAGAAGGGAGCGCGCCCTGCACATCCAGCGTCCTGCAGGAGAAGCAGAGTGAGTTACATTCCCCCCCTCCCCATCTTTCCTTTCCTTGGATGGGTCCAAGCTCCATGGGCCTGGGGCCTCTTGTCCACTCACAGCCCAGGGGGTTGTAGGGTCTTCCTCACTGTGCCGGTGGGCAGGATCAGAGGGCCTGTGGCCGCTCTCTGCCCCATGAGCTGAGCCCTGGGTTCTGAGTTCCCACACACACACCGCACAGCTGGGCTTCAGAGCCAGAGGGACAGACTGAGGCTGGGGCTGGGAGGCTGAGCTCACAGAGCAGATCTGGGACCCGGGGAAGCCTCGTGCGTTGTTTGCATGTGGGGAGAGAGAGAGGGGGGACGGGAATGGGGAGCAAGGCTTCCTGAGCCTTTAATACCGTCTCCTTCGGGTGACACAACTACCAGGAACTCCAGACGGTGACGTGGTGACTGGGGTCAGAGGCCCTCAGTCAAGGGTTATGCCAGGGCATGAGCGGTGCATCCATCCCTCAGAGGCCATGCCTGCAGGGCCCGGGCCTCCCGAAGCCCTTGTCAATCCTTCCTGAGTGGACAGGCTTCTTCCAGGCTGGCTTCTGCCCTGTGTTTTCTTCCGGGAAATGAGCACAGGATTTCGACCAGGAAAGACTTGGTAAAAATGTCCATTTTGCTGACAAAGTAACCTCAGGACATAAGTGCCTGGAGGTGTGGGG